GAACAAAACCTGCTCCCAACCAGGTTAGGTTCACAGAGTAAGTTGCCATAGTAACTGACTCTGAGTTTAGATTACCTCTCTTTTTGAAACGGGTTTAACTTAACCCGCTTTCACGGGTTTAAGTTACCTCCGTTTCTGGAACCGAAAACTCTGAGTTTCAACAAAACCTCCTTCTTGAAACGGGCCCCTGGACTGTGTAGTGTGATTTATGAGGAGTTGATATTATTGTCTGACCTTTTATCATGGCAGATAATGCCGGCTATTTATAGGCAATCTAACTATGAGCACAGACAAGTGTGTACTATTATTGTATATCAGATAAAGCAGGAGTGGTGGGCATTTCTGTGCGCTTGATAAGGTCTGACATCTTTCTAATTATGTTTCTCTATTGTTGCATCTCTGCTGTGGTTAATGTTTTGGGCAGTTTTGATTCACTACTGTCTTTTCGCTTATAAAGGGGCATATGAGTCAGTGACCTTTGTTTTAGGAGTAGATTACACCTCTCACTTGCCCTGGCTCATGTAAATAACCATAGGGTTTTTATTAACTTACTTATCAAGAGTGAATTCCGTCCTTGCTGTTCAGGTCATATTATTTCAACAACTTTTTAAATTGTATTATAACTTCTGTTGTACCCGGTACTTTTTACCATACTGACTCTGAGAGACGAGGCAGTCCAAGTAACTACAAAACAGTGCTGATTTATTCAAAGGATCACAGGTAAAATTAACATTACACGCTCAGGTATCTTGCACCTCCAAACTGCTCTCAGGCAGATGTAAGATGAAAGACCCTGAACCCACCAGGCCTATACATTATATCTGTGTGTGTCTGTTGGTTAAGTGGTGTGTAGCTAAAAACATTCTCACGACCTCTAGTAACATGTCGTGGCTTAAACATAAGAACCTATTATGGCTAAGGCTACAGTTATACACGTCATAATAATAATATTAAACACCCTGTCTGCTGACAGTCCTCAACTCTTCTCTCTAGTTATCCTTGACCAGATGTACCCTGTAGAAACTCATAAGCAGGCCTAAGCATTTAACAGTCTAACTAGACATCCTATCTCCACTAAACATTTCTAATACATAAAGTATCTATCCAATTTCTATCTGACTAAAAATACCTAACACTTCAAATATTATTTTATACAGTTTTCCTTTGTGGCATATCTTATGAGATAAAACGCATCGCTCCTATTTAAGACTCGGTCTTAGCTCAAATCTGATGCAATGTCTCGGTATGTTGACTTGAAGCGGATTCGGCCCTGAAATGCTGAGAATAGTTGCATCAGCCACATTAAATCTGAGCAACATGGAAATATAGTCAAAGAATGACGACAAAGACGACCAATTATAAATTGACTCAGTTTAAGTGACTGTTCGCCGACCAATCACGTTGAAAGATAAGTGTGCGAATCAAGTTAAGTTTGAGCCAACGGCGTGACGAATTTGGTTTGAAGTCCCGCCTTATTCGACGCACCGAAAGCTAATTGGTTAGAATGGACTCGAGGGCACGTCTTGCTTAAATATTATTGGTCGAGGACATGCGTAGGGACTCGCCCATGTGCCTGGATTGTATAAATAGTGAGCGCCGCTTTACCTTGCTATCGAGAAAACGCAAGAAATCACTGTTTTGTCTTTGCTGGTACGAAATCAACTGCCAGCTGTTGAAACGCTACCATCTCTGAATCAGACCTCGATCTTTTCGTTCGTTAGCTTTGATGTCGTAGTTTCAGCGGCCTGCTAAACAGCTGGCCAAAACGATTTTTAATTTTTTTTTCCTACTACTGTCCCGAAGGCCTCAGCGGCTGCCATGGAATTTTAAGGCATAATGCGGCACCTCTAATGCAATGGCAATGCATCGTGCACGGCAAAATCAACTGCGAGATTCCATCTTCGCAACTGACAAGCAGTTGGGGTCAAATACCGCTCGCGGTATCCCTGAGAGCCAACCGGTACCACTGCTCCTGGACCGAAGGAAGCTAACGCTAGCTACCTAGTCATTTTAACTAGTGACATCCATCGATTTAATCTGAACGCCGACAACACTACCGATCAAAATGAAGCTTCAAGACATAATCTCCGGGAAGACCTCCCTGTGGATCTTTGGGTACGGGTCACTGGTGTGGAAACCTGACTTCAAGTACAAGAGGAGCAAGGTCGGTTTCATTCAGGGCTACAAAAGACGTTTCTGGCACGGAGATAACTTCCATCGCGGGAATGACGAGTTGGTAAAATGCTTGTTTGCTTACTTTTACACACGGTGATGTTTGTGTGGGTAGACTACCGTGAACTCGTAGGCTGAAACTGCGTTGTCCCTGACGTGAACCATTTCTCTTCCTCTGTTTGCAGCCCGGAAGAGTGGTGACGCTGATTGAAGATGATGACGTAAGTGGAAAGCTCTACTTCCTATTGGTTTACTGGTTGTACTGAGGAAACTGCAATGGAGTTTCCAGACTGGGGGTGGGGGAAATAAATGCAGTCTCCACTGAATGATCTGACTTGAAACGTTTTCTTCACACAGGCGAGCACTTGGGGCGTGGCGTTCGAGGTGTCAGGCTCTCAGGTTGAGGAGTCCCTGAAGTACCTCAATGTGCGCGAGACGGTCTGTGGTGGCTACGCCACCAAAATGGTGGATTTCTTCCCTGAGGAAGCGGGCCAGCCTCCAGTTCAGGCGCTGGTGTACATTGCCACCTCTGACAACCCCCTCTACCTGGGGCCAGCCAGCCCGGAGGAGATCGGTACCCAGATCGCTCTGTGCAGAGGGAAGACGGGCCACAACTTGGAGTACCTGCTCCAGCTGGCTGAGTTCATGAGGAGCAGCTGTCCACACGTAGAAGACCATCACCTGTTCTCCATCGAGGCAGCAGCACTGACCGTGGTGTCCTATCTGTTAGCAGTCCAGTAGCTCGTACCCTTTGTCTCACTAGCTTATCGGCGATGAATACACTACACAGACAACACTGAGGCTTTTCATCTGTCATTCCTGTCCACCTACAGTGCGTTTTATGTTGTGAGATCTAGTGTCACAGCAACATCCAGTGCACTTGAATCGATTGAATGCTGTTGAAGTGATAATAAAGGGGAAGCATGGCACTTTTTTTCCCTCCCTAATGCATGACCTCATGTTTACATTGTAATGTTTGTGCAGTTACAAAAAGTATGATCACTGTAAACACCTGCAGTTTTTAAAAACTTTTTTTTTTTTTTATTTGAGCAGATCAGATTCCATCCACTCTGATCAGACGGTTTAGTAATGTGGTAGTTAAGTTTTGTAATTCACCAAATTGCTGCTGTGTTTCATGTTCAAGGCACATTTTCCATTCTGTGTAAACACAAATCCCAATAAAGTTTAAAGAACTTTGTTTTTTTGCCTTTGAGTGACTGGTTTGAGCAGATGTGACATCCTCTTCAAAACATGCACAAATAAATGTATTGCTTACTAACATTTTGTTGAGTTGCACAAAAAAATCAACTATAGCTTTGGATCACTTTCCAGTAAAACCTTACACTACCTTATTATGTCAAATGGTACCATTACATCTGGAGCAAGGCTGGACAACTCAAATCTTGGACCAGTGGTTCCCATCCTGTGGGATCCACACTAGTTTTGCCACTACAGCCTTTCCTGAGTAAAGTCTAAAACGGGTGCTTTCACACCAGTCCATGTTCCAGATGTGACTGGGTTTGTTTTTACTCAGCAGCAGCAGCAGCATCCAGATAACTCAGTAAAGCAGCTTTTCAGAGCAGGTCACTGGAGAATAAACATATACAAACATACAATGGACACTCCCAAACACTGGCTGGAGCAGCTTGTACCTTGGATATGATTCAAAGAGGTGCATGAGCTTATATAATGGCTGGCTGGGAACAAGCCTGGGCCTGGAAGTCCTGTGTTTACAGTCTGCATTGTGGTTATGTCAGAGTGCACAGGGAGGAACATGCTGCAGCAGCAACTCATCAAAATGGAATCTTTATGACCCTGCACCAGAGCATGTGAAAATATACTGCCAGGATTTCAGGTGTACCTCAGACCCACAACAGTACAGTAGCAAGGGCTAAGCTTCGGTGCCTCTGACATTCCTGACTCCAACCCAAGATGAATGGAGTTTAGTGTTATTCACTAATCTTCATAACAATGTCCCAGTTACTGACACCTCACTGTGAACCATTCTCATAGGGACAGTCTCTCCAACAAGTAACTCCAATGAAAACTGTCCACAGAGTTTCTGTAGACTACTCTGAGGAACAGGGCTGTGGTTTCTGGAAAGACCAGTTGAATTTTTGAAATTGATTTTTTTTATGCTAAAACCACCAATTAAATTAGGTTACACATGGGTAATTACAAATGAGACTGTGCAGCATAAGAATGATTTAAAACCTTAAACTATGTAAGTGCAAAGTAGAAAATGTAATTTGCAGACTTGGTGAATGGATCAGGTTTGACCTTCAGGGTTCAGTTGACTGCTGTGTCTCATTTTCCTATTTTAGTGTGAAAACATCTCTAAACATCTGTAATTGCAGGTGTATTGTGTGTCTGGAGTCTGCAAAATGATTCAACATGGCCAGGTCAACAGGATGGTTTCCAAAAACCACAAAAAGATGGTTTCAAGAAGCCACAGTCGTTTCAATACCACTGAGTCTCAACAAAGGCTCAGCTTCACAAAGCTGATATCTGAGCAGCATCACAGACTGTCATGAGCAATGCAACTATAACACACAACGAATACAAAAACAAACCAAAAAAAAAAAAAAAAAGCAGAAATGCCGATTTAGCGCACTTTTATTTTCACTCGGCTCTTCCTGTTGGTAAAATGGTTGATGTATTTTTGTCATATGTACACATGGCCTAGAAAAATAGACAGGCAAATGAGGGAAAAGTCAGTGGAAAAGTTGCTCTCATCATTATATACATCAATATAGAACATCAGATTTTAATCAGACTATTGACACAAAACAAACCTATAACAAATGTAGTGCTCAACTTAGGACACTTACACAAACCTTTCCTTTCTAGGACATCAAACAGAACCACAGACTACTCTTCACAAAAAAACTATTTGTGAAAAATAAAACTGACTTTAATACAATTTACACGGCTTTACAGGTGAATATCCCAGTCGCAATTATCATAAATTGCCCATTTTTAAAATAACTCAAATAAATTAAATATTAGATGACCAACTAATTGGAGTGAATTCTTAGATTTACCGTTAGCAGCATTACTGTGTCAACCAGTATCACTCATTTTGGAATATAATTTTTACACTATCCATTCATTCATTTTCGCACTGGGCAAAAAATATAGAATTTTTTCATTTCTATCCATAGTGGAATATATTTTATGGACACAATTTGCCACGTTGGTTTGGGTACTTGCATCTTTTATTACAAAAATAAGAGCTTTAGTAGAAAAGCTGTAGAGATATGGTTTGGTAAAGTGTGTGTAGGTAAGGTGTAGGTTCACATTAAGCTCTTGTGAATGGCAGAATCATCCACCAGTCAGCACTGAGCATCTCTATAGAACAATTAAATAACCTAACATACGAGAATGAGAATCACTAACACCAAAAACGGAAGACATGGCTCAGTGCATCTGACAGAAACGATGGTGCCTCACTACCCTGGCAAACACAGGGATTTCAAAGCCCTTTAAGCTACACGTGTTCGATCACGTCTTTGTTGTAACATCACTGCTAGGTAGCAAATCAAAAATGTTTTCTGTCACAAATAGAAAAGTTTGTCTTCCCAAAAAAGCACTTAGACAAATTTGCCAAAATGCAAATAAAAATACTCAAGGCAGATATTTTTTCCACTGACCTGGACACATTCAAATAAAACTGACAGGAAACGTGGAAGCTGGTAGGGATTGTACTTTCAGATGACTGTGGTGTGTGTGTGAAGAGGGTCCATCTAGTTGCTGAGGCAGCAGGCAGAGTGTTGTCCTCCAGGTAGTGAGCCTCAGTTAAGATACCATGGTCGCTGTTTATGAGTTTAGGTGTAGGGCATCTGTCCCGATCACAGTGAGAGTAGGTCATCTGTCAGTGTGTGTGCAGGCGTTCATGTGTGTACAGTGTGTATGAGCGCATCATCGAGCCCCAGGACCACCAGGGCCTTTGCCCTTCCGGACTGCACCGTGGCTGCTGTGGTGGTGGCTGTGGGTCAGCTGTCTGTGGGGGCTGGGGGTGGAGGTGCCTCCTTTGGCCTGGGGAGAGGAGCTCCTGCTGGGGTTGAAGGCAGGACTGGTGCCAGACCTGCCTAGGGAAGGCTGCAGGGGGCTGGACGCAGAGAGGCCTACTAGGACATGAAGACATGAACATGGTTATTCTCTAAAAACGTTGTGAGTATATGCCTGTTCCATACTACAGAATATACTGTACAAGCAGCATACAACATACAGTATACAAACATACTGACAGGAAATTATAAAATACATGTATGAAGTGTAAACTTTATGTGACCCTTGTTATTTTAATGCTTGCGTGTACTTGCCTGAGAGTGTACACACTGTTGACTCACCTTTAGAAACGCTGTAGCCATAAGCAGCATAAGCTGCAGCTGATGCAGCTGCTGCACCAGCTATCGCTCCTGCCTTAGCTGCCGCACTGCCCGCCGTTGACTTGCGCCCACGTCCTTTCCCACCTGACTTTGCCCCACCTCCGGATCCTTTAGGTCGTCCTCGACTCCGCCCAGACCTGCCTCTGCCAGGGCTGGTCGTGTCTGAGGCTGAAACACCTGAAGATAGAACATATGAAAAGAAACTAGAACTGCTGCTTTCCTGTTGTATGCCTCTTGCCAACCAGTCAAATTCATGGATATGGCAGAGGTGAGGCCACCGCGTCAACCCGTTCAAATTCACGGGTATGGGACAGAAGTGAGGTCACTGACCTTTGACCATCAAAATTTAATCAGTTCCTCTTTGAGTCCATGTGGACACATGCCAGATTTTAAGAAATTCCCTCAAGGTGTTCCTGAGATATCACATTCACAAGAATGGGCTGCATGGAGGGACAACCCAAAAACATAATAGAAATAATTCCGTGTGTGCAGGATTATGGACGTTGGTGGGGTCCAACCCTAGAAGTGATTAGTCCCTAACCAACTGTGTAAGAGAGATGTTTTGTGTTTCTTGGACTTAATTCAGTCCTTCAAAGACAGTGTAATCATTTTACTGTAATGTAGAAAACATATTAGACATTTGCTATCACCACTCATCATTACCATAAGTACAGGCTCAGGCAGAAACATACAGCTCTCATTTTCCAGACTGTCTGCAGAATCAGAGCCAGTGTCTGCCTCAGTGGTAAGATGCCTAATCCTTCCAGTACCTTCTCCGCTCTCTGATTCCATACATCTCACCACTGCTCTGCATTTTCTCTGCATGTTTCCATCCAAATCCTGTCGAATACAACCCTTCATTGGGGAGAGATGAGCCTATCACCAACACCGAGGCACAGCTGAGAACCCTCGACAATTCCATAGCTCTTACATCACTTCAGATCTTAATCTCACTCTTCCTCCTTTTTCACTCATTTACTCAACTTCCCCAAGTGCTCCCTCATTCTGTCTTCTAAACAGTTCATTCTAATGTCATCTGCAACTCAGAAACCACCTCGCTGGGCCTGGTTAGCAGGGGTCATCAACAGTCTAAGTGGCAGGGGTCTTTTAGCATGGCAGCAATAATCCCAAAGTGGGTTTCAAAGAAGTTGCAAGTATTACCTTATTAAAGCTTCACTTCACTATCTATCTGGATCCCATATTACAAAACATATTAAAAAAACTGTATTCAAAAGAAAATAACACCCTCATAAATCAAAATAATCGTGGTAACAGAACTCCTTGTCTCAATGGGCACAAGCCAATTAAAATTAAGTCACCTCAAGCGTTGGCATTACAAGCACCGTGTGTCAACACATAGGTATCCTCTGGTATCTAACACCAAGATGTCAGCAGCAGATCCTTTAGGTCCTGTAAGTTGTAAAATGGTGCCTCCATGGATTGGAGCAGAACATTGTCCAGAGCATCACACTGCCCATTAAAGATTTCTGCAACTTGTACCAAAATAGCCCTACTACTAGTAGCCCAGTTTGGACCAGATAAGATAGCGCTCATTGCCCTAAAGCTGTGATGAGCAGATTTAGATCACTTATTTAAATGCAAGTATCAATTCCACAAAGCAAATTTACTCAGACTTATAGTTGTGCATTTAATTATGCACAATGAATGGATGAAATAAGGTACTGGCAAATACACAGTATACCAGCCCACTCACTTGAAGTCGAAGGTTGGCCAAAATCATTTCTTTTCTCACCATTCATGTTATCAGAGACTGATCCAGACACAGAGGCAGGGGAGTTAGTGGCACGAGACTGCGGCGCAGAAGACACTGGATCGTCCACAATGACCAGCATGTCGCTACTGCTCTCATCCGCATCGGCATCTGGTGGCAACGAGCCAGGCTGGAGCTCGCTGCTCAGGGAGATCTGACCGTGCACAGGAGCAAACACAGACAGAGACACAGGCTGGGGGTCAGCACCACAGGGAACAGGGGAAACCAGGCCAGTACAGTAAAGGGCAAGAGTAGTGGAACAGTGCAAGGAACAAGAAAGAAGGAAGAGAAGAGAAAATAGAATAACAAAAAAGAAAGGAAGTAAGAAACTGAGAAAAGAAAAAGAGAAAGCAGGAGTGAAAGGAGAGTAGAATGAAAAGAAGGTAGCAACACATGAAAGGAGAGGAATCAGTAACAGATATTAAGAGAAGACAGGGTGTGAAAAGGAAGATGTGTAAGAGAATTGAAAAGCACAAGATGCAAAATAAGAAAGTGACTTTGAGGAAAAACACCAAAGCCACTAACCATCCTCTGTAACATTAATTCCAGTCATATACAATATCTGGCTTCTCCTCCACTTCCTTTACTTTGCTAAAAGGATGTGCACACTTGAAAGATCCTGCTTATTCACTTGACTTACTCACCTCACTGAAGGGGCTGGGCATGGCTGAGTCCATCTCGACGCTGATGAAGGAGTCGTCTCCATCTGCAGACAGGTTAGAGTTGTCAGCTGAAGGTGCATGGGAGATGACCAGGTTCACCTCCTTTTTCCTCTTGGTCTCTGACTCCTCGTTCTTCTTCTGCAGGTTAGAAACAGAAAAGGAGAGCTAATTCTAATGCCACTTCATCTCTTCTTCACATCTTATGGGTCTATCTGTATGTCTGTCCAACACTTGAGTTCAGAGCAAGAAGACTCACCAACAACTTTATTATACCATTCCTTCCTTTCTCACCTTGGTATGTCTTGTCTTGCATCCTCTATTTGTTTCTTCATTTCTTTATTTATTCTACATTCTTCCTTGTGCTCTATTTCAGATGTTATAGCTGCAGACTGAGGTAAATGCTGAGGTTTCAGCCAACTGTACCTTCTCAGCGTACTTCTCCCTCTTTCTCTTGCGCTCCTTCACCTTACTGCTCTCCTCTTGCTGCCTCTTCTCCTCCTGTCTCTGACGCACTACAGGAAAAGATACAACATAATTGTAATTTTACACTTTCTTGCTTCTAGTTCTCATATGAGTTAGTCTGTACTTAGTAAAACTGAATTAAATCCAGACAAAGACATGTGGATGCATGCCTTAAATACTCACATTTCTTCTCCAGCTCGTCATCGTCCAATAGCAGGCTGACCACCTCTTTGGGTTTGAGCGTGTCTGGCTTGAAATTGCCTCCAGAGATCACCACCCTTTGGATCTTGTTACACAAAAACAATAAAGCATGAATAAACTCTGTAATTAATTCATATTTGCTCAGCACTGTGTTGTTTATCTATTGGTTTAACTGGGAAACAGGCTCTTTAAAAATGGAAACTTAACTTGTGCCATATATTTAAGTGCTTCTGTTACAGACCTCGCTCTTTTCCTTGGCCCGCTGCAGGATTCTCTCCTCGATGGTACCCTGACAGATGAGGCGATAGACGGTGACCTGCTTTGTCTGACCCAGCCTGTGAGCTCTGTCCATGGCCTGTTGGTCCACTGTAGGGTTCCAGTCACTGTCATAGAAGATGACCTGGAGGGAGCCATAAAAGACGTTTCTCACAAATTCATTTTGAGCATTTCTACAGTTTACTATTTAGCAGCTGGTACAATTTGATGTGATGACAGCCTAAAGGTGACGTACACTACTTCCTCTGTAATTTCTGAGATTAATTACAGTGATGTGTTATTCCATGTGAACCTCCCTTTAACGTGACAGACATCCTTTGTAAACAATCACTTCCAATCAAAGGTGAAGTGCTGCCGGAATGCACCGGAATGATGCTCTGGCAACTTTTTTTCTCCAAAAGAGGAAAAAGAATATTTGCAAAACCTATAATAATTCATAACATTACATTTTTGTGAGCGCTTGAAGATCCAATCATCAATAAAGCATACGTCCAACAAGAGAACCAGTAAAAACAAATGGAATAGTCTAAGTTGTGACATTAAATTTTAAAGTGTGATGATTGATTCACGTTGACTCCGCACTCTGGCGCACAGCATTTGCACCCACAAGTGCTTGTGTGCTTTGCCCAACCACATATTGATGACAGTTTGATGCTGAAGACAGACCTTGTTTACAAAAGACAAGTGACAGAACGAAACTCAGACTAGGGTGTAATCTCACCAGGGGACCTTGGAGAACATTGGATGCAACGATCAGCAGCAGAAACAGACTACATTTAACTTAAGTGATGCTGGGATTGAAACAGACTGTTTTAGGGGCGGCTGTGGCTCACGAGGCTGTGGCAAGTCGTCTTCTGACCAGTAAGTTGGTGGTTTGACTCCCGGTCTCCCTACATGCCTAAGTGACCCTGAGCAAGGCACTGAACCCCAAATTGCTCCCGGTGGCTTGACTAGCGCCGTTGTGTGGCAGCCTTGTCGTCATCGGTGTGTGAATAGGTGAATGGTGTATGATCTCCTGTAAAGCGCTTTGGCCAATGCAACACACTGTGAAAATGCGCTATATAAATACAGTCCATTTACCATTTACCTGTGTACCTATGAGTGATCAGCTGTAGGCCTGCAGGGCACAGGAAGGCCAGACTTTGACACATGCTGACCAGTTGCTGGGTGACATGCAAACCAACATGGAGCAGGAGTTCAGTGAACATTCAGTATGTTTTGGAGTTTAACACCTGAGCAGAGAGCATCGCTTGTCTTACAGCTTTATAAGGCATTTGATAGTCGGTCATGACAAATATGGGTGGGTGTGGGAATTTCCGTTTTTCATAGTTTGGGTGGGACATGCCCCCTAGTTGGTCCCCCGTGGAGATTATGCTCTAGTAGTAGGATTATCTATGGCTATAACATTCAACCTGTGACAAATGGCTACTGGTTCACATTGTTATTCTGCCTCATCAGAGAACAAAGTGAGTCTAACAATTGATCATGTGGGCAATTACAGCCCACTAACTTTAAAGTAGATTAATGCTGTTTAACCACATTAATGAAATATTTTCCTTTAGTGTGTCAGTGACTCACGGTGTCAGCAGCGGTCAGGTTAATACCAAGTCCTCCGGCCCGTGTACTCAGCAGAAACACAAAGATATCCGTCCTGTGAAGTTGGGAAAAGTGGAAGAGGGGAACAAAGAAAGAGGGAGAAGGAGAGACACAAAGTTGAAAGATATCATTTACAACTGCAGTTACAGCATATAGATAATGGCACAAAAATGGAGAACCATTCTGCAAAGTGTCACTACAAGCTTCAGCCTGGGCAGCATAACTGGGCGTCATGGGAAACGAAGCATACTTCATACTGATAGATGAGTCCTGCACAATAAAGCTGTTTCAGCAAACCACAACCTCTCTCACCTACACCTCGTACAACTGGAGCAACTCTGGTGCCTTAAAGCTGCACACTAATGCAAACCAGAGCATGTGGACTCACTAGGAAATACACGCACACACATATTTGGATGCACACTTGAGATTAAAGTGTTCACTTATTGCAGCAATATACTGTATGAAAAGGCAAATTTATCATTAATTATTGGCCTGGTTTCATGGGCACACATACATACACACACACACAGAGTATATTGTATCTATATCGATATCTACCCACCGGCTCTGGAAGTCAGCCACCATGTCTCTGCGTTCAGAAATCTTGGAGGATCCATCCAGGCGCATGTAGGTGTGCTTACGATAAACCATGTACTCCTGGAAAGACAGGACAAAATACAGCAATTAGGAGAGCTACTTCTCTAAAATATGCAATTCTATTTAAGTCTTTTTCGAAGAGCAGATAAACTGTGCAGGGTTACTTGTTCAGTTCCAAGGCTCAGGAAATAGTCATTTTTAATGTAAGAATGCTTGACAGTGGCTCTGAAATATCAAAATCCCACATTTCTTTGGTGTATCTGCTGGGGTTGAAACCTCAATCCCAGCCTAGAGAGACACTAAGAAATGCAGAAACTGATATCTCTCCACCCCTGAGGTCTGCTGAGCTGTTCTGTGTGTCGTGTGTGGGTGTTAGTTCTGACAGGAGGGCTTCTTAAGTGCCAGGGTCAGAGCAACAACTGCGATGATGTGACATGTTGATCTCTCTTTAAGCACTGCCCCCGAACCCCCCCGCCGACCTCCTCACTCAAACATGTCAGTGCCCCTGAACCAATGAACCAGTAACAATTACTGGCACACATCACAACTCACCACACACAATCATTACCAATGATATCAATGATTTGACTCTATGTTTTCAGTGACCTCCCCAAACCCCTGTCACCCAGGGGCCTCCACCGTCTGTGTGAGTGTCTGGCTCTGTGCCCAACAGCCCCATCTGCTCTCAGTGAACACTACATTAGGGACCATTAGCCCGCTGCTCGCAAAATGCTTCTAACCTTGTTGAATTGGGTTTTGATATGTTGCCAGCAGGATGTTGCAGGCATCGTTACAGAAAGCCTTCCTCAGGATCTCTCACCTAAATCATCAGAATCAAAGTTTTAGTAAAAAAATCATCTAAGATCTCTGACAGTTTTAAAGCTTGGGAAGTCCTTGCCAGTCCATAGCACACAATGTCAATGCAATGGTTCACACTTTGGACTTTCCAAGCTGAAATCTATACCTCAACAGTTGGTAACTTTCTCTCATATTCTGTTTGAATTGGTGTTAATCATAAGTGACACCGCTATACAGTATGTCTGCAGTTTTTCACTGACTTAGTAATGTCAAGGTTGCAAATGTAAAGGCTCAGGCCAACCTATAAAAGTGGCAAATCTTGTCCAGTTAACTGTCAGCAGCCCTTTATGGATCATATTTAGTAAAACAAAAAAAAAGCTTTATGGTTCTGAACTGAAGTGATGTGTGGGAGGTGAAGGACAGAAAATTGTTTAAAAGTGTGTCAAAACTCCAGCCAAACATTTCTCTCTCTCTCTCTGCTCAAATTTACTTTAAATCTTAGGAACTGCCATCTCTTGAAAACTGCAAGGACTGACAACCAGTATGTTCTCAGAAATGAGCACCCAGAGTTAAGAAAAAATTAAACTCTCACGGTCACAGTGTGTATTTGTTGCAGTTTTTAGGGTGGGAATGCAGTGTGTGTGGTCACAGTTTGTTCCCAACTGAAACAGATCCCACAGAAAGTAAAGTACATGATGTAGAGGCACTATGAACACATACACCTTCAGTCCCAGCACATTCTATCAGCCAGTGAACTGAAGCCATAAAAGAGAACAGCAGAACAACCTGTGCTATGGAAATATTTTAATAATAAAGCCAAGAACATGAGATCTGTCTTTTGTGGTATTTAATAAAACTTTCATTAAAAGGCTCGGTGGAATCAGAAAGCAAAAGGTCTCCACAGCAAAGAGCAAAGTAAAACAAGAGCACACCCTACTTATAATCTTGCTATCAAAGTATGTAGACATAACGTCCTAGTGTACAGCATACTGGGCTCTGGATCTCCTCTGTCATACTCATAACAGAGGTACCAGCCAGCCAGAAAAACTGAACACACAAATCAACACTAAGATGTAGACTCACGTCTTTCTACTGTAGTTTGACCAACCTCAGACTTTACACATCAAAGTATCTTTCCAGGTGTAGGGCAGTAATACTACATACAGTTGCAAACATATTGTCCCTTTGTTATAATGGGTTTTCAAGTTTAAAACAAGAACTATATATAGTATAATAAGAAATATAATATAGTCAGAGAAAACTAAAGCCAGATTGGAATGAACAAATTCATTTGTATAGTGTATTCATTTATTCATTTTTGTATAATATTCAGTTCATTATCGGAGGAGATTCTGTCACAGCCCCCATTTCAGCATGAGGCCATTTACAAACAAGGCGCTGTAGACACTTGTTAGACTAGAAAGTCATACTGTAGCTAAAGGCGGAACAGGAAGTTAGAAGAACATGAACACAGAATGACCACCTTGCATTGTCTAAGCCATCTCAAGCATTCTCACCATTACTGTTTTCCTTTGGCGTTTAAACACAAGGCATTCCCAGTGTGTTCCAGACATGCAGGAAGACAGTCCTTAACCACCTAGGCTGGGCCTGTCTGCCACTGAAGGATTTGGCTGTGGAAATAGCATTGCGCTGTGTGACCGAGGAAGGATTTCCCAGTGACATCATGCCAGAGGCTTTTGGCACCATAGTGATGTTTGCAACAAACATGGAGGCAACATCACAGTAGCACACAGAGGCTGTCAGGACATGATCACCAACAGCTTTGCACTATTGTTTTCCAATGGGGAGAGCAGTCCCACATATTTCACACCTTGAGCCTTCTTTGAACTGTAACCATGACAGCTACTAACCTCCAATCACAAAGACGTTTAAACACAGAAAAAAAAAAATCACCCTGCCAGTTCTTATTTCTAGCTTCGAGCTCAGTGCAGCAAGAAAAGACGTTTTGTGTTTGGCCGTCCATCTTTTTTCACTCTCAGCTACAAATCTTTGTCTTCAATTTTCTGTATTATTTCCGTCTCCTCTAACCCCAAGGCCCTTGCCACTCCCATTACTCCCTCTCCCCTCCACCTCTCCTCTCCTCTTCACTCCTTCCAGCCATTCCTCCCATCTGGCTGCCTCTCCTGCAGATGAGACCCCGCTAATTAGCCTGACCTGTTAATTAGCTGTCTAATGAGTGCACTAACAAGGGACAGGCATGCTGATTAGAGCTACTGGAGCTCAATACCTCGCTGGTGAAAGCAGACCAGTTAAACAAAATAGATGATACATTAAAGGTGTGCTTCCTGAGATCAGGATTAGCACTTCTCTGAATAAATCTTGGTCACTGGTTTATGTACATAAATGTGTCTGTGTAAATGTGTGCATAACCTGCATACATGTGCACCACACTTGATTCCTTTTTACACAGAGACTCAAACCGTCCTGAGTGCGTGAGTGTTTATACCTCCAGCAGATCTATCATGCGTGTCATCTGAGAGTAGATGAGGACTCGGTGTCCCTGCGCCTTCAGCCGACTCAACAGGACATCCAAGGTGTGGAGCTTGCCACTTTCCATGATTAGGCTCTCCTTATCTAGAAGAGGAGGAGACAAAGAAGTGAACACCCCCAACTACCTGGAAAGCGAGAGACTGCTTCAGCTTCATACTTATTTTAGGCAGTAGGAACAAATGCTCTGCATGGAATTCAAAAATGGTTTCTTGGTGGTTGTATCCAAATATATAAGCTTACACGATAAACTTTTTCCTCTTGTAAAAATATCAACAATCAAATCTTTCTTTTCCTCCCTATTTTGAATCTTTAGTGTACTTTTACAGTACTATAATGCAAAACTTCTGCTTACTGAGAGAACACAGAACAGCAGCCGACTCAATTCAGAGGTGATTAACTCTTCACCAATCAATACAGGTCTTCGATCAGACTGTAGTTACTTGGATTAAAAACCCTTTCACCAGAGTGGATCAGCTCCAGGATCAATCCTCCTAAACTTGTCACTAATCTGGTAGTTGTTTAAATAAAGTGTTTGCTCTTATTGACTGGACTGTTGAAGAGAGCAGAGAGAATGAACAAAAGAGAGCGAACAAGACAGAAAGAGAAATTGTGAGAAGATGTGATTTACACTCCATTTCACACAACGGCACAAAAGATGAACAAACAGTCCTGACAGTTGGTCTTGGTCTTGGTCATATTACTTCCAACACTGTATCAGGTGGTTGACCACAGAGAGTAATGGGGAGCAATCTGACCCTGGGTCTGCTGTTGAAGTGGTTGCCTCCACGCCGAGCTAATGAGGAATTAACGTCATCTGGCACAAAGGCAGAATGAGGAAAAGGCCAGGGCTTGCCATCGACCCGGTGACAGGCACACTGTGGAGTTTGTCCAAAGGGTCTTGACCTCGGTTGGGGAGAACCTAAGGCCAGGTCCAGGGTCAGGTGACAGGGTTACAAGAGAGTCTCTATGAGAGTCAGTCTTGCACTCGAGTTGGACACATGTTCCCAAACCCTGTTCATACCATGAAAACCCAGGTTTATAAATATTTTTAAGCCTTAATTTTTTGCCTTGTCAATGTAATGTAACCATCCACATTAAAATCATAAGATAAACTCATTAATCCGAGTCACAAGCTAAGAAAATATAAGCTGAGGTTGTAATAATGCACATATGACAACACCCTGCCACCGTATCTGCAAAACACTCATATACAACTTTTTCTTAAAGACAATCCAAGATGATAAAGTCTGCTCCATGATACAGGAAGACCCACAAAACCAACTGGTTCTTTCTCGACTTTTCACCAGTAGCACTCTATGCTAATGCGTACTCAGGCTGAACCCTGGCCTGCGACCCTTTACTATAGCCCTCCAAAAAAGGTCAGGCCCTGTGGAAGTGTTAAAGAAGAACTACTAGGACAGATGAACAGGGGAAACACTCTGGGGACGTACTGGAGAGCACACCTCCAGGACAATGTTAAATGGTGACATCCTGTCAAACTCATTTGGTTCTGGTCATACACATACACCTAAGAGCTCATGGCAAAGTGTTGACAGGACATGTTCTGACTCAAAGTTATAATTTCATTTGCTTGGGTTTCCTCAAAATAGGGGGTGTATAGCTGGCAAAGTAGACACTGTATGCTCTTCACTATTGTTATTTTCTCCAAGTGAATAAAATAACTGAGGCTAAAATTATGACACACTACAAAGGAAGATGAGAGATAGCAAAAGAAGAAATGGAGGAAAAGAAAGGAAGTGAGATAAAGGAGATGATAAACAATACATATAATACATTCACAGCAAGAAACAATAAATTAAATGTGAAGCAGACCCAATTTAACTCTAGATTGATTGGAATGTAGGCTGTTTTTACACATTGCTCTGGCTGAGATTTGTGTGCACCAGGAGACCGACACACCACAAGTCCTGTGATACAAGAACACTGTATCCCACCATCAAAGGCCTATAATTGTCTTTGGCGTCAAGAAAGCGGATGGAGTGAAAAGTTAAGGGAGGGGAGAGTGAGACATAGAGGATTAGACATGTGCATAGAAGAAAAGGGAACAGACGGAGAGTGAAAGGGGGGTTTGTGGTGACTCTGGCTGCAGTGAGCCGTATTAGTGTGGTGGCGGCGGTGGTGATGTTGTGGTTTAGATCAGACTGGGCCTTCTCACCGCAGGTGCCAGTCTAACCGGGGCCACTGCTCAGTCAAGGGCACCAAGCGGTGCTGTGAGCGACACTGCCAACCACACAGATGCAAACCGCCACTTGGCAACATGATGCAGATTGTCATATAAGGCAATATTGCTCAATCCCTTCCACCAATCTGTTTCTGTTTAGCAGATTACATGTAAGCCTCCAGACGCCAATATCGTGTTTGACGATGGGTTAAAGCCAGCATTTCTGTGGCCACACAGGACTAAATGTTGTATGTATTTTAATTCTTGAAGGGCATAAACTGTAAATCTGTGACCCTATTCAGGAATAAGCAGTATAGATAATGGATGGATAGATGCATGGCTAAACTGTAAATCTGAAAATCCCATATTAAGTAGTTAGATATGATTATTTTTGTATGATGAGATATGTCAGTCAGGGTCCTTTTTTATGCTCTTCTCTTAGAAAGCCACCTTCTAATGTCTGACCACACTGATGATGTCTCCTTCGTCATTGTGTATGTGATCGTTGTGTAGAAGCCAAGGACACCACTTGAACATATTTGAATTTAAGTGGCATTCAATCTACAGGGAAATGATCAGCGCAAAAAGGATGCTACATCCTCAATGGAAAGCAAGGAAGCAGATATATCCCACCCCATCATCCAAAGTCCCTTAAGACTAGCGATGTGCCTTACAGAGAGGTGGCTGAGTTTAAGACATTTAGTGCTGCATAGAGAAAAGTATCACTGCCATACATTGAAAAACAAAGACAAAAAAAGGAATCATTGTGAATGGGAAGGATTTGGTGGCCTGTCCCATTGCAATGTAACACTTACAACTTACATCATAAGTCACATGCGGCCGCAGTAACATGCATGACCACATGTGAAATCTGGATGTGGTAACCGTGCATATAACATGAATAACTATGGACTTAGAGGGATTAAAATGAATGTCTGTCCATTTGCTCTAGGTGGCGCTAGCAAGCAAGACTCATTCAGATGAGATTCTGTGAAAATTAGTTCACATAGTACCAGCATCAATATTTGGGGGAAGGATAAACAAAAGGTGCCTCAGATCACTTCACTACAGTAGGACATTTGGAATGATATATTTCTTTCTGAATACATGAGTGACAACATAAACATTTAGATTAAAATGCACTAAAATGGACGCAAATCGACTTGGCACTCATCGACCAAAAAGGACTGTGTTAAGGCCACACCCAAAAAAACAAATCTCATTTGGTGTCACACCACTGTGCTGTTGCTATGGATACACATATCAAGCTTCACCACCTGCCCTGCCCCGCTTTCACATCACCCCCCCTCCACTTCGGCAACAGTGGTATTCACCCAGCTGGCCCTCCCTGTCTCCTCCTATCCTCACCTCCTGCTGGCAGATTAGACTACACTCCCGTGTCTCTCCTCTCTGCCCCTTTCCACTACATCCACTGCGCCCTCCAGCTCCCTCTTCATCCTTTCCTCCTCCACTAATACAAACTCTCCCTCCTGCTCCCCTTTACACACCCCCTCCCCATACTGTCTGGTCCCCGATGGTGTAATCCAATCCCTGTAGGGCCAGAGCCAGGGGCCTGACACGGTCCTGACCCAATTAAAGGCCTGCTGCCAGCTAATTAACCCCGGCCCAGCTCTGGTGCCTGGCGTCTGATACTCCCAAACCAACTATGGTGCTAATTTCATTAATACACTACTACAGTCTTCTGTCCTGTCCCCCTCCACTCTGCTGCTGCTGCTCCCGAAGCCAAAAGCAGAGCTGCCCTCAACAGGGAGGGAAGCAGGCCAGATGCAATCGGGAAGAAGGAAAAAAAAAAAAAAAAGAAGAGAGAAAGGGAGATGAACAGCAGCGAGACTGCAGGAAAAAAAAATCAAGAGCTGATGAAAGAAGATGGATGGATGGTTATGTGAGAAAGAGAGACAGATGGGGGGCCACAGAACAGGTCGAATCAACGATCGAACAGAGCGTCAGCCCCTCACTGTATAATGATACACTACACTGTGCAATCAATAAGTCAATGGGCAACACTTGTTCAGCACTGCTGATGATGGAAATATTAGCCTGACGCTTCGCTGCTTCTGTGTGTACTGACAAAAATCTTACTTAAACTTAATTTTCTCTCAGCGACAGCATCGGGACAGCTAAGAGCCAGATGTCAGTGGGAGATTTTTGGAAGTGGGGAGTGAGGTATGTGACAGAAAAGAAGAGACTTGTTAGAGCTTGATGAATTGTGAGACATCTATGACATCTATGACAGAGCCTCTCTCCTCTGATGCTCTGAATAGGAGCCAAATCATAAACATGCATTCCACCAAGCCTACAAATGTGTGGCTACACGAGTGCTACATGTGTGTATAGAGCAAAGGAGCACTTCTCTTAATTCTCTAGGAGTCGATAAGCAGGGCAAGAGACAGTGAGTCTCTTGCCCTGATGAGGACTCAGAGGTTTGTGGGGGAGCCTCACCACATCACAGCTGCCCACTATGAACTCTGTCATTAAGACAGATTACTGCTAGTTACCCTTGGCCAGCACTGATTCAACACACACCACAGATGAAACCTAGCTTCCTAAGGGACAGACTGAGTTAGATATGAGTTGGCTTCCGTGCTCAAACATGTCATCACGGGGGCATAATGTGGCTAATGTCTCCCCCTTCAGTCTACTGTGGAATTTTGAGCTGAGTTTCATATTCTTTAT